ATGGGGGTCCCGGCCCCATTTGGGGGGGCATGGGAAGAGCAGACAGTGGCCAGGGGGTGTTGGGAGACAGAGTTACCCTCAATCCCTGTCCTTCCTCACCCTTGAGCTCAGGGCTGGTGTCCATCACCTCCTGCTTCCAAGCCCGAGGGATGTGCAACTGCTCCATTTTTTTCTCCTTCCCAGCTCCCCTCAATGCTGACTCACCATGGCTGGGGGAAACTCTGGATGCCAGGTTTTGGGGTAGGAACACTCCTCTGTGCAGCCCGAGGGGTGGCTGGAGCCTTCCAGGGCGGGCATYTGGCCATGCTGGTGTTTGGCCGTGCTGGTGTCCATCCATGGGTGCAGTTTCTGCTGTTTTTAGTAGCAATAGGTTTAGATGTGAGACAGGGCTGGATCAGATGGGAGCACCAACTCCATCCTCAGGGATTGGGGGCTCTGGGGGGACTCACTGAGGCTGCTGGAGCCCGGTGACCCCCGGCACGTGGGCATTGAGGGGGATGGAGAGTGGCCCCCACTGCTCCCTGCCCTGCTCCAGTAGTTTGTGGTGAGGTGGTGGTCTCTTCTTGGGACAGGGGGGAAGGAYTTTTGGTTCTTGAGTAGCAACGGGATCTGTACAAAAGTGCTTCARGAAAACAGCGTTAGTCTGACGGGGTGAATGCAATAGAGCTTTGGGGGGGTTCTTGGTCTCCTCCCGGCACCTCAGCTGTACCAGGGAAACTGCTGACCCCAAATCCTGTATCTGCCCCCCAATTCCTATATCTGCCCCCAAATCCTGTATCTGCCCCCTCAAATCCTATATCTGCTCCCCCAATTCCTGTATTTGCTGCCCCAATTCCTGTATCTGCTTCCCCAAATCCTCTATCTGCCCCCCAATTCCTGTATCTGCCCCCCCAAATCTGCCCCCCAAATCCTGCCTCTGTCCTCAAGAATCATGTAAGACCTTCCCCCGCTGCTCCCACTTTAATGGTTTGGTGATTTTTCTGCTAGATGTCTAGTGTGTGTAAATACCTCTGTAAATCTTTCCAGTTTCTCTCAGTATTCTCCTTGATCATTGTTTACAAAAATAAGAGGGAAAAAAATAAAGAAAAAAAAAGGAAAAATAAAATATCCAAAGCGTCTAATAGGTGACGGAGCAAGGAGATGGATCTGTCCTGTGTGCTCTCTGAACCATCCCTGTCCTGGGCTAAAGCAAACAGGGAATCTCTCAGGTTTGCCCCGGGGTGCCGGGATCTAAGAAAACAGGGATTTTTATCTGTAGTGGGAAGCCACACTGGAGGAGATGGGATTGATTCGCATCTACTTGCGTTTGCCATTGTGGCTCTTCCCTTATCTTGACAATAATTAACTAAATTGCTGCATCACCCTGCCCACGGGCACTATGCATGAGGGGACAGTCACAGGAGGATGGGGCACGCTCAGGGTCCTGCTGTGACACAGGARTGTTTGAATGTATGAGAAATAAAATAAAGGTGTCCCTCACCAGGGGGTGTCTGCCCTGGGGCGAAAGCCTTGAGTCCCAAAAATGTCTACGAGGAGACGGAAGAATGTAATCCATGTTTACTGCTAGCAACCAAAGCGTTTTGTGTCAAACTCGTGAAGTTTTATCAAGTGGGTGGGAGGGACAGGATAACTGGGGTGGCTGTGTGTGTGTGTGGGGTTCAGGGTACCTCCTGAATGAATTCCTCACATTTCCTGCTGGAGTTCCTGCAGTCAGATTCTCAGTTTGCTGCTGCTGCAGGTTTTYCCCCCCACCTCCATTCATTTTATTTTTGTGTTTGTACCAACTGTGTAAAATGTGGGGTTTTTTTCTTTTCTGGAAAAAAAAAATAATAAAGACCATGGGCAATGGCTGCTGGTGATGTTTTGTGTGTGATTATTTTTGTTTTTCTCCCCTGGGGTTGAGGAGCCCAGACCCCAAATGGGGGGACCCAAACCCCAGCTGTCCCTGCAGCCCCCTCAGATCAYCCCCAGCCCTGTCACAGARCCACAGAYTGGTTTGGGTTGGAMRGGACATKAAATCCCCATCCTCTACCAAGGGCAGCGACATTCCCCTGTCCCAGGGTGTCCCAATGTCCAGCCTGGCCTTGGGCACTSMMAGGGATCCACAGCAGCTCTGGGCACCCCGTGCCAGGGCCTGTCACCCTCACAGGGAGAATTCCTTCCCAAGCTATCCCAGGRAAGCCATTCYCKGTGTCCTGTCCCTCTGTCCCTTGTCCCCAGCTCTGCTGGARCCTCTTTAGGCTYTKGAAGGAGCTCTGAGGTTTCCKTGGGGCCTTYTCTTCKGCAGGTGAGCACCCYCAGCTCTCTCAGTGGCTCTCCAGAGCRGAGGGGCTGCARCCCTCACCAGGTTCCCCCTCACAGAAACCCCTCMCGCCYCCCCAGAGCCCCCCACTGCCCATTCTCAAGGATCCCGTTCAGTGTCAGAGCACCCGCCCCTCACAGAGACCCCCGCCTGCCTTCCCAGAGCCCCCATTGCCTGTTCT